AGTCTTTCTGCCTGTTGTGTTCCCTGCTCTGTCTCTGGTGAATCCTTTCACCCTCCTGCACATCTGGCCTGTACCCCGGTTCTTGTATAAATAAATCTTTAAAAAAATAAAATATAAATGAATATTTTATACCGTATTGATAAAAGACAAAAGTAGCATTATCCTATTAAGAAATTAATAAAAAGCATTTGATAAAATCCAACATCCATTTGTCATTTGGAAAAAACTGGATTGGAAGGACGATTTTCATTTTGATAAAAGTTTGCTAGAAATTATCTACCAACACCAGCGCTTGGTTTTTACTATGATTATAATTTAATTTTTTTTTTCAAATTACAAAAATATTTTATTATTTTTTAGTACCACCAAAGCTGTTTTCTGGATTATTGTTTGGGGTGTGTGTGTGGATGTAATGTAACATTGTATATGATTTAGGGAAATAAGTGCACACCTCCTTAGATGTATGTCACCATATCACACCCACCACAAAAGCACCCGTGGTCCTTTACCATAAACTATTGTGTCCCCTGAGCCCTTTGTTTCTATCCCTTTCCCCCTCCAGTAGCCTCAATTCTGCAGTTATATTTCTAGGGTTTATTTTGGCTTAGTATTGTCAGTTCCTGTGTTTTGTTTTTCTATATTTCCACATATGAATGAAATAATCAGTATTTGTCTTTCTCCTTCAGACTTATTTTACTTAGCTGGCTGACATTTTATCTATCTCTTAAGAATGGCTGCTTAGGCCTCATTGCTATCTGGCTATCTGGCTATCTCAGCTTTCATATGCTGGTTTCTAGGTGTCTGCACATCACAGGACACAAAGCACTGTGCAGTTGGTATAAGGGAGCATAAGGAGGCCAGAGAGGAGCTACTGGGGGTACAGAGGTAGAGGACTGTGAAAGAATTTTGTAAATTAATTTTACTGATTACTTGTGTGAACTAAGTTTCTCATGGATGTTAATTATCAAAAACTGAGATCATTATTAAACCTTTGAATCAAAATTTATAGTGATTTGAAATATGAAATACCTTTTTCACCATCAAAATCAATTTCTGAAATCACGCATTTTGGAATAATGTCAAGTTCCATAAAAGAGTCAGTTAGGATTTTTACTGTGATGGAATTTTATTTGAAGGATATTTGGGGGAAACTGACATATTTACAATAATGATTATAGCTTTTCTTTCTTTCTTTTTTTTTTTTAAAGATTTATTTATTTATTTATACAAGCATTGGGTACAGTCAGAAGCACGGGAGGGTGAGAGAATTCACCAGAGCCAGAACGGGGAGCAGAGCAGGCAGACTGACGAAACACACTGCTGAGGGGAACACCGGGTGGCAGGAGAGGTCTGCGTGCCATGTGGGACCCTTCTCCGGTGGCCAGGGAGCAGCCGGGGATCGAACCGACGCTGCAGAGGCTGCGGGCAGCTTGGCAACCCAGCGCTCAACCGCTGCGCCACCGGGGAGGCCCGATTTGGTTTATTTTTTTATGAAAACCAACTCTCCTTCCCCCGCACCCCTACTGTTTCTCTAGTCTCTCTTTTTCTCTAGGACCCCGTAATCTCTTGCTCCCTCTGGTGTCTGAATGCCATCATCATGTTATGATGTGGGCAACACTTTTCCCTTTTCTACCTTTCTAGGAAGCCTCAAATTATATGCCTTCTCCCAGTTTGGCAGAGGACTCCTGCAAAGAGCAAACCACTTACCCCTTTTCCTTTGTTCTTAGCTCCCCTTCCAAACCATACCTTTTCCATCAGTGCTCCATGTGAGGCAAGACAGAAACCAGCCCCTCGGGCAGGACCCAGAAAAGCCAGGGTATTTGTGGCATGTGTGTTGGTGCTGAGCTCTAATGGTTTGAGGAGGGGCTGACATGGGCAAAGTAAAATTGTGCTTCCTTACCCTTTGGATTTGTGCCTGTTTGGAATACTGCAACTTCTTAACTGGATTTGGAACTTCTTTTAAAGATATTTTGGCTACCTATCATTGTTAAATTGGTGTTTCTATAATGGTGTAAGACTGGAATTCCTATTCCACTACTTGGCTGACATCACTCTCCTCGCTAGCTTATTGAACTGAAAGTTGTTCGATAATTTCCAGATGTGAGATGTTATTTAATAAGCTCATTTAAAATTCTAAATTTCTCTTGAAAAATTTTTGACCAAAGTCCACAGATTTTGACATGGATCCCTCATCATACAGCCATAAACTGCAATTTACACTTATTTAGGAGAATCATTTTTAAATGTTAAGCTACAAAGACTCTATTTTGAATGAGACATCATAATTTTGTCAAGTTATTATGCTCAGTGAATGCGTACAAGTCATACTAAACATTTTTGAGATTACTTTTTAGTCCATTGAATGTTTTATTACAAATTTCATGAAGACTTATGTTCCTATATATGTACATGTGTAGACATGACTAAATGTTGGTAAGATTAATAGGGTCTTATTTTAAGTGATAAAATTACAAGTGATCTTTACTTCATTTTTAATGCTTTTTGACATTTCTATAATTAGCATATTTTCATCAGAAAAAAATATTTCCCCAATACCAAAAATTATGTTATCACATAATACAGAAACAAATTTTATGATAATAAGGCTTTAAGAATATATTAAATTATATTTGATGTAAGAATACAGTAAGGTATACGAATTATGTTAGAAAAAAATTAAGGTTAAGAATTAGTTGCTTCTCAATATACAGATTCAATGCTATTCCAATCAAAATCTCAATGGCATTCTTCAAAGAAATAGAACAATTATTGATGAAATTCATATGGAATCACCAAAAACCCCGAATAGCCAAAGCTCTACTGAAAAAAAAAGAAGGAAATGGAGGCATCACACTCCCAGACTTCAAACTCTACTACAAAGCCATAATCATCAAAACTGCATGGTATTGGAACAAGAACAGACATACAGACCAATGGAATCGAATAGAAAATCCAGAAATAAACCCACAGATTTATGGTCAACTAATCTTTGACAAAGGAGCAAAGACTATGCATTGGAGCAAAGAAAGTTTGTTCAATAAATGGTGCTGGGAAAACTGGGTCGCTACATGCAAAAGAATGAAGCTTGACCACTACCTCACACCATACACAAAAATCAACTCAAAATGGATTAAAGAACTAGACATAAGACCTGAAACCATAAAATACATAGAAGGAAATATAGGTGAAACACTACGGGATTTGCACATCAAAGACATCTTTACAGACACATCACCCAAAGCAGTGATAGTGAAGAGAAAGATAAACAGCTGGGACTACATCAAATTAAAGAGCTTCTGCACAGCAAAAGAGACAATAACAAAAACAAAGAGAAACCCCACCAACTGGGAGAACATTTTTGCACCCAACACTAATGATAAAGGACTGATCACAAAAATCTGCAAAGAGCTGATGAGACTCAGCAACAACAAAGAAAATAATCCAGTCAAAAAATGGGCAGAAGAGCTAAAAAGAAACTTCTCTGAAGAGGAAATGCAAATGGCCAACAGACATATGAAAAAATGTTCAACATCACTTGTAATCAGGGAAATGCAAATCAAAACTACCATGAGATACCATCTCACACCAGTGAGAATGGCACATATTAAAAAAACTAGCAACAACAAATGTTGGCGAGGATGTGGAGAAAAAGGAACTCTTCTGCACTGTTGGTGGGAGTGCAAACTGGTCCAACCACTATGGAGAGCTGTGTGGAGATTTCTGGACCTACTAAACATAGAGCTTCCATATGATCCAGCAATTCCACTCCTAGGTATTTACCCAAAGGACACAGAAACATCAATTCCAAAGAGCACCTGCACTCCTATGTTTATAGCAGCACTGTTTACAATAGCTAAGCTTTGGAAACAACCCAAATGCCCAAAAATAGATGACTGGATCAAGAAGATGTGGTACATATATACCATGGAATATTACTCAGCATTCAAAAAAGATAAACACATGCAATTTGCAGCAACATGGATGGCACTGGAAGGGATCATGCTCAGCGAAATAAGCCAAAAAGAAAAAGAAAAATACCGGATGGTCTCACTCATAGCAGGAATCTAGAAAACTTAAATAAGGGACCAGGAAAATGAATATAAGAAAGTGAAAATCAAAATCAACAAAAAACTATGAACCAGAGACACTTTTTGGGGGGTGGGGGGCGGGAGGGGAAGGATTGGGGTCAGAATGGGGCGTTTGCAATTGTATGGGGGAATATAAAAATAAAATTTAATATTTAAAAAAAAAATAAAATAAAATAAAAAATAAAAAAAAAAAAAGAATTAGTTGCTTCTGAAAGAAGTCCAGTTATGTGGAAATTTCATTTGAGAACTAACTCTTCAAATATTCTGGATAGCAAAGCAGACAAGGGTGTAGAAGAAGTAAGAACAAAGGGGAAAGGAAGCACAGTGGACTATGGTAGTGGATTATAGGTGATTTGGTGGTGGGTGCCCTACGGATTCCCGATGGAGAGAATCCTAATGTAACCACAATGAAAAGAATAAAATAATGAATAAATCAAAAAGATTCTGCAGAGCAATATACCAACAAAAACACAAATTATAAAAATAATGTGTATAAAGTTTGAGATAGAGAAATGTAAAAAGAGTGCATGCATTTGGAGGAGGGTGGCACATACAACTAAGTAACTAGAATTCATGGCTTTTTTTAAGTCCAGCATTCACAAAAGGCATTTCATGTATCCATACTATGTTCTCCTGATGCTCTCCACTCAGATCTTATGCATAAATTTATCACAAAATTTAAAAAGTTTTGGGTTTTATTTTGAAAAGAGCTTAAATATATTCTAGATGGTTAAAAAGCCAAATGATGACTTTGTAGTTGTGTTCTAAGAAATTAGGAAAAAGTGCTATCTTGATTTGAATAGAAAAAGACAAATACAAACTGCAGAATATTAATACTATACCATAACTTTTTCCCAAAAGGAATGTAAAAAGCAAACAGAATTTTTTTTGAAATTTTATTTATTTATGCATACAAGAGGCGGGGTACAAGCCAGGGATGCAGGGGGTGAGAGGATTCACCAGAGACAGAGCGGGAAACACAAGAGGCAGACTGACTGAAATACACTGCTGAGTGGAATTGCGGGTGAGATAGGAGAGGTCTGCTTCGCCATGTGGGTTGCTCCCTGGCCTGCTGAGGATCGAACTCATGCTGCAGTGGCTGTAGATTGCTTCAAAGTGCAGTGCTTAACCCCTTGTGCCACCAGGGAGGCCCCCAAAATATTTTTAAACTGCCAAGATAAAGAAAAAGAAGTAAAAACAGCTATGGCTTGCCTTATACCCTACATCGAAACCAGCCAACAACACTTATAAAATTTACTTTATTAACATCCACTCAGGCATTTTCCCCTTTTCATTCTTTTCCCTAGTGTCATGGTCCAGGCTTTAGTTTATTCCACCCGATTGCTGTAACACCCTCCTAATTTATACATTCATATTTAATTTCCTTCCTCTATTTCAGCGCCCATACAATTTCTAGAGGCAATGTGATAAAACAGGAATCAAATCCTGTTACTTTCCTGTTTAAATATTCTACTCTTATTTCCTTGAATTTCCTCCCAGTTTTACTCTCACAAATGTGGCAACCACAACACCATTAACCCATCACCACCTTCCTATAAGCCAAATATCATTTTCTCACTGGGCCATACCAGGTTCTCCAAAATCTGAGTCAAGACTAACCTCTGTCCTCATCTCTTGCCTACACACACACACACACCCTCACCATACATCTGTCTTTCTAAATAAGTTATCATTCCCAGAATGATATCATTTTCTCTGCTTCCCCTACGATGCCACCTTGCTGCCCACTGTGATTGCCTATTTTATGCTTGATCTCACACCCTTAAAACTTATTCCACACAAATTGCTCATTTTGCACTTAACAAACACTTCATATGCATCATTTAAGCAAGTTCAAGATTGAAACATAGTTTAAAAATCATGAAATAAAACTACAGAGTCCAGTAATTGAAAAATGCTGATTATACATTATTTAGAATACTAATAATAGTCTCTTTGAAATTTAGACCTGAGATCCATAGAAAGCAATTCAATAAATTTTGTTCTTCAGATAAAGAGTTAGAAGCAAACCTGCAGGTCTCTAAGCATTTGTGATTAAAAAACCAAACAACAGAAATATTAATTAATTCAATAAACTATCATTTTTAAAAGGTCATCAATCCTTAGCTCTGAGGCTACAATTTTGAACTCCTGTAATTATAATTAAATTTTTGGTTAGATTTATTTAAATGTCCATAATTTTGAAAGAAAAATACAATGTATTTAATATCATCCTAATATAATTTGTTTCTCATATCAGTCATTTGTCTTAGGTAAACCTGTAATATTTATTTCCATAGAAAATCTCTACTTTAATGAGTTATATGGAATTAGTGACCATCTCAGTCATCTAAACTACATGATACACCTGCAGAACTGGCTGGCTTAAAACAAAATTATTTACCTCCAATTTCTGTCATTTGGTAATGTGGACTGCATTCAACTAGCTATCTCTGAGTATCCTTGGTTGGGGTGATTTGGTTCTGCTCCAATAGTCTCTCATCCTCAAGTAAGCTTACCCTAGGGAGATGAAGGCTAGCAAATGACAGCACGGAAGTCTTCAGGAGAAGAAGTAGAAGCATGCAAGATATCCTGGTGCCTTGGCTTGGGACTAGCACATCACCTCTTTAAATGAATTCTGTTAACCACCACCCCCCCAAAAAAGAAAGAAAAATCACAAGCCAGCCCAGAATCAAGGTGCTAGTAAAGTTTCCACTTCCCTTGGTGGATTATGGGTGTTTTGGTGGTGGGAGTTACTGGAGCAGCACTGGCAAGGGGAATCATACTTCTAAATTACAAACAACAATGTAAACCAACTTCAATTAAAAAAAAAAAAAATAGTTCCCACCTCTTGTTGGAAGGAGATGCAGACACATGACAAAGAAACAGTGAATTATGGCTGCACATTTTAAAATCATAGGTTTAGCTAAACAATAGGTCACTAGTGACAGTTAAGTCTGGCAATATCTTGCATATTAGATTTGGGAAGTTAGGCTTTTATTTGGTTGCTAATGAGGGACCATCGAAGAATTTTGTTCAGTGCAGCAACAGGTTCAGAACTGAAATATACCTTTCGTTTCCATTTTTAAACATTAAAATGACTTAGGTAGCAATCAGAGTAGGAGGGTACTTTACGCTTTCTGGATATTGTGTTCCTACCTGGAAAGCCATTCATCCCCAGCAGTCCCTTTGACCTCACAAGCCTACTCAGTCCTCACCACCCACTACCCACAGCACTAGACAGCTGGCTGAAAATCTCCGGTGTTATCTCCCTAAGACTCAACCCTAAAGCATTGTCAATTCTTTGTTTCCTTCATTGAACTCTGAGGACTGCCAGGAATGAGAATGGGCTTCATCTGATTTCTCATTGCATCGACAAGCACCTGGCCTAAGTTAACAATCTCACAAATGATTAAGGACCGAATTAACAGTAGATCTATTGGGCCTCCCTGGTGGTGCAAGGGCTTCAGCACTGCACTACGAAGCAATCCGCAGCTTTTGCAGCACAAATTGGATCTCCGGCCAGGGAGCTACCCCCATGGCGCAGCAGACTGCTCCTGTCTCCCCCGCTGCTCCCCTCAGCAGTGTATTTCAGTCAATCTGCCTGTTCTGTTCCCCACTCTGTCTCTGGTGGATCCTCCCCACCCCAACCCCATCTCTGGCCTGTGCCCAGCTCTTGTATGCATAAAAAAAAAAAATCTCAAAAAAAAGTAGATATAAGGATGGGGGGGTGGGGAAGTGTAAAGGGCAGGACTGGACACAGTGCAGGTTTTCTGAGTTTCGCTTTACCGCAAGCCCCAAGAGTCGCGCCGCAGACACAGCCACACGGAGCTTCGCCCCAGCGCAGTAGCCGCGCTTCCGGCCGTGCGGCCGCGCCGGGCGGGCAAGCGCGGGCGGCGGTTGATGGGCGGGTCCCCGCCCCGCCCCGCCCCCTCGGGCCCGGCTTCCGCGCACCGGGAGGCGTGTTCCGGGCCCTGCGACCCAGTGCCGGGCGCCGGTTAAGACCCCGCTCCCCGTCGCCGGAGCCATGGAGGCGCCCGTGGAGGAGGAAGTTGAAAATGACGACGGCGACTGCACCTGCGGGGATCTGTGCTTCATGGACAAGGGCCTGAGGAGGTAAAGGGCGCCCGGGGGCCGGCGCGGCCCGGGCAGAGGCGATGGGCAGAGCGGCGGGCGGCCTGGCCGAACCGGGGTGCGGCGCAGCGGTGGGGAGCCCCCCAACAGGCGCTGCGGGTCCTCTGCCCGCCGTGCCCCCCCCAAAACCGCCCCCTGAAATGCCCGATTGAGCGGACCCTCGTTGTGGAAGCTGCCCCCGCGCCCTGCTTCTCTACTAGCCTTTGACGTTCCTTCTTTCTTTGCTGTGTCTCTTTGCTGTACCAGCTGTTTTTTCTTTGTTTGCCCTAATTGTTGGTTTTCTCGGGGATTGTCTTTTCTCTCCTTCTGTTACCCCGATAAAAGGTGGCATGGCCCAATGCCTGGCCGCGGTTGAGGTTTCCCACTCTTGAAGGTTTTGCCTCGATTCTCTTTACGCCATTCTTGTGCTTTGCAGAGTACTAAGGTTTGTCTATTCGTGTACTTTTTGAAAGTACTGAATATACATGGAGTTCGCTTTTTCTCTTTTTCGTGCAACCCAAATTTGTGCGTGGCCTACAGGTATGCTCTTCGTTTTGCTATGCTGGCAGGTCCCTGCCGACCTCTTCAGTCTGACCATTTCTGCAGTTACACTGTCAAGAGAGTACTGAGCTACAGGCAGTGTATTTCTCAGTGGGTTTTTCTGCTTTTGTTCATGCAGTTCCTTTGGGCTGTGCCCTCCTTTATGCGAAACTTGCTGCTAAGAATTAAAGCATTTTGCTCTGCATCTTGAGTCACAATTCCCCAAGATGCTTTTCCAAGGACTATTTGCATTATACTTAATAATAGCTGTCATTTACTGAGTGAATGCCACATATACATGTGTCCATGTATATATGCTGTCACTAATCCTCTAGACAACTCTGCAAGGTATTAATTTTACAAGTGGCAACACTGAGACTCAGAGATGCTAACTTTTCCAACTTCATGCAGCTGGTGAGCGATTGTTTCAATTCCACCCTACTTGGAAATAATTTCATTCTGCATTTTCTACTATTCCACATTATCTGCACATTAATTTCCAGAAATAAATGTTTCAGAAAATAAAAGACTGCCATTAAGAGCATGTGTCAATACCATAAGGGTCTGGCACTAAATGATAGCCGGATAAGTGACAGAAGCTAGATAATTGGGAATGTTTCAGTCACATTTAGAGATAGCTAGTTTGATATTTAGAATTGCTTTTTCTTTATCTGTCCGGGATTATGTGCTTCAGTCTCGAAGAGAAAGGGATGAGCTGGATGACTTTATGACAGTCAAGGTGTTTTTGTGTTTCGTGGCTTTCTTTCATTCTTATTTTAAATTTGAACATCGTAATGCTAAGTTGGAAGCAGTTCTGAATTCCTGTTTTCCCTTTACTCCCTGATTGCTAAACTTCTCATTTCCCTGCTGCCTGGGTTAGGAGTCCTGGCAGCTTTATGATAGTTGCTACAGAATATGGAACAGATGCACGTGTCATTGTGTATGAGTTCCTGAACTGTACCTCTTCCAGCACCTCTGAGCTTTGTGTACTGTACTTTGTGTTATTGGAACTATGTTCAGGTGAAAATCCTGTTATAAATAACAGTAATTGAGAGTGAAGAGAGATGAACTCTATTTAGGGAAGGTACATTCTAAAGTTCAACAGGGAAGACAAACTTTTTCACTAGAATTAGGAATTACTGATGTCTTGAAATCAATTACTGTGAGTTAAATAACCATTGCAAAGAGTGAAGAAAGATTATAAACTACAATGTCAGATACAGATTTATACTGGTTCTGTTGGGTAATAAATACAGCAACTTGGATAAATTATTTAACTTACACAACGTTATCTATCCTTATGTTACTGCTTAGAACTGTGAAGATTAAATGAGATGAGGAAACTGATACTTAGAGAGGTTAGTTAATTCATTTTCTCAAGTAACAGCAAAAAAGCTGGTAGAGTGCAGATTTGAACTGGGGTATTATAATTTGAGAGCCTTACAATTACAGTATGCTTATGACTTTGTATTTATATCAGAAGCTAGAAATGCCCAAGGAACTTGCCTCAATTAAGTAGGTTTCTTGCTTATATAAATGAACAAAAATACTGGTTAACTGGTAAGAAGCACTGTACCTTTGAGACATATCAAAGCTGAAAGGGAACTGCTAAGAAAAGGAAAATCTCTCTCTGTTAGAGTCATAGACCTGGAAATATAAATAACAAGTTTGCTTCCTTAATAAGCATATCTAAACAAGGTCTGGCAGCTTACTAGGCTGATTGATCTCCCAGGCCATCCTCAAAGATCTGTATCCTTCCCCTCTTTCTGTGTCAAGAATTTGTATGCTAACTAACCAACTTTATCAAGAAAAGTGGTTATGTATAAAAGAAACTCTCTTGTCTCTAGACCAGTGCTCAGACCTTATGGGACTACCCATGAGTAATAAAGCTTTCCTGACCTCATCATTCCTAAAGTACAGCTTGTTCTTCCTCTGCCTGGGTAAAACACTGGAATTTATTTCTGCAACAAAGCTATCAGAAGAAGAAGGGATTTCATTATACAGTGATTTCATTATACAGAAGGGATTTCATTATATATATTATTATCTACATGCTGTTTTGTTAATTTTTAATTATTTGGTAATGATTTTAAAATCCATTTTTAACTTGTTTTCGATAATATCATTTTCTTTTGTAGCATATCAGAGCTATCTTTAAATTCAACCCTTCATGCCATCAATCTTCATTGCAATAATATCTCTAAGATCAACGCCATAGACCATATTTGGAATTTGCAACATTTAGATCTATCATCTAACCAAATAAGTCAAATTGAAGGGCTCAACACACTGACTAAACTATGTACTTTGAATTTGTCCTGCAATTTGATTACAAGAATAGAAGGTTTGTAATTGATTATCGTTTAATAGTTTGCATAAGGAAGGTGATTTAAGTCCCTTTTGACAGTATTTCACAAAATACTCATAAAATTCAGTTGTTAACAAAACTAGATTTACTTCAAAACAGTCTAATGTAGTATTGTAATATTTATCACTTTGTAACTATGATTAATTGATTGTTTGAATCCTAATTTTAGGACTTGAAGCACTGGTTAATCTGACTAGCCTGAATTTATCTTATAACCACATAAATGATCTTAGTGGTAAGTAGATATGTTCATGTTTTTTGTGATGCTAAATGTTTGCCACATGTAATGAGATATTCTTCTTGAGCTCAGCATGTTGAAAAACTGAATAATAAATTTTATCTCAAATCTCATCTAGAGGTATGCTTTTGTCATAATTCTTTTTGTTGGTGTTAAAGCTGAAACTGAATAAAAAATAGATGTAAAACCTAGGTTAGCCATAGCACAAAAAACTTTTATAGGAAGATCTGTTTGGGGAGAATAATGTTTTAACCAGAATGTAGGAAACTGTACTAAGACCTCAAAGAGATGTCAAGCATGTGTTTTCATCAACATTTTGCCTATACCCTGTTGGTTAGATGAAGCTGTTGCAGCAAGGTTTTAATGCTTGTCTTTTACCTCTTGAAATATAACCCATATAAAAATTATTTTTAACTAGCTCTTGGAAAAATTACTGCTGTAGCTTCAAACACATCTTTTTTTCTATTGCAGGTTTGATTCCCCTTCATGGTATTAAATTTAAACTTAGATATATTGATCTACATAGGAATTTTATAGATAGCATCCATCACTTACTTCAATGTACAGTAGGATTACACTTCTTGACTTACCTTATTTTGGATAAAAATGGAGAGGATAATCCTGTCTGTCGTTTACCAGGTATGGCCAAATAATTTAGTACTTTTTGTAATAATTATTTCCTGCAGTTGGTATCTATGACTTCTTATTTTTCTTAAGCTTTGCAACTTTTTAGCTTCTGATATACCATGATCTCTAAGACACACTGTTAAGAGAAAGAAAAGTAAGCAAGTTGCAAAACTTGGCACATATTGGGCTACTATTTGTGTGAAAAGTAATATATATATGTTATTTGCTGTGTATGTACATAATATATCTAAAAGGATACCAAAGCAGCTCATAATATAACTCCATTATTAGGTAGCTGGGATCAGGAAATGTGGATGGGTACCTGGGAACATCAGAGGACTTTTTGTTATGTATAGTTTGTATTTTATACTATTTGAATATATGAAATTATCAATAAATCAACTATTATTATTTTTTAAAGATATATCCACTTATTTATATAAGCACTGGGTACAGTCAGAAGCATGGGAGGGTAAGAGAATTCACCAGAGTCAGAGTGGAGAGCAGAGCAGGCAGACTGACGAAACACAATGCCGAGGGGAGCAGCGGGCGGCAGGAGAGGTCTGCAGGCCATGTGGGACCCTCACCCAGTGACCCGGGATCAAACCGGTGCTGCAGAGGCTGCGGGCAGCTTCGCAACCTAGCGCTCAACCGCTGCGCCACCGGGCAGGCCCTCAACTATTATTTTTAAAGAAGAGAGCTTAAAATAATATAGATGATACTGCTGAAGTGGCCTTTGGTCTAATTCAGAATCTTTAAACTTAACAAAGATAAAGCAGCCCAGAATTCATTTATCGTGGATGGCTTAGCCAAGTAATAGAACACAAATGTAGAATATTCTACATTCTATCTTTACATTCTAAAGATCAGCTTGGTTAGAAGTTTACTATAGAGGCTCCATTCTGTCATAAATATCCAACTATGGAAAGGTTTTCCCCAGAATGGAGATTTGCTTTAATAATTTTATTTCA